AAGGATGGCAGTGTCAGGCACCATTGTTTGAAGGTTTCTAAAATGAGTAGTTGCCTCTGTCATGAGAACTCTTAAATCACTTGCAGACCCTTTCCCGCAGTAATTTGGAAGTCCGCTGAATATTTAAGGGTTCTTTCTTATCCAGCATGGGTGTTGGATTATGTACTAGTCACACACTGTCCATACTGTACTAGAACACTGCACTTGGGGTGTCTTGACATCTGTCTGCCACTGTGACCTCTTTTCATGTATATAGAGGAAGCTGACCCTCATGTTAGCATGTTATGCCCCACCAGAGCATGTGGGCTTATGTGACCCCTGCAATGGAGATGTGGGATGATAGATGAGTTACAGAGTTGCTAGCTTATATTACATGATCTTGGCATGGAATGGGGTCTCCTTTAGCACACAGTGATCAGGAAATGTGTTGTACTGAGGGTGTATCTATCATAAAGTCATGTACTCCATTAACCAAAAGGCATCTTTCATAACATCACATACCTAACCAGAGGGCACACCTATCATGATGTCATACCCACTTAGAGAGGATACCTATCCTGATGCCACATTCTCATTTAAACAGAGGTCCTACCTATCATAATGCTACATATCTGCTTCACCAGGGTACACCCCTATCAAAATGTCATGCTCAGACATTACCAAAGAGCATGCCTATCATGACATCATACTTTATATCCCCCAACATAATTCTAAATGTTGATTTAACCCTCCTAATACATCTTTTTAAAGAATGTGAGAATGATACAGAGAAAGCATTCTCAAGACACTTGTGACTAACTAGGAAGACAGTGGCAGTCAGTAGCCATTCCCATTCTCCAGGTTATGGTTCTATGAAGAGATTACCACATGGGCCTGTGTAATGGGACCTGAGTCCCATTGAGGACAAATTCATATCACAATTGAGAGGTGCTGGCTATTGTCCCATGTTTTTCTAATGCAACGTTCTCTAACTTTAAAATTAGATATTTCAGTACACTAATGTCCATCTTTTTCTATGTTAGAGGACATATCTGATATTCTATGGGTAGGTGTGGCCAGTGGCTATTCTTAAAGAGTCCTGAGTTTACATGATGTTAAATAGGTAGAAAAACAGAAGGCAGAGTGACCAGGGGTTTCAGACTCCAGTAAGCAGCAGATAGCTTCCTGAGCAGAAAAGGGCCATGCCCTGGATCAGAATGAAGGGTCTATAAGGACTTCTGGATTAGTATTTTAAGGATTTTTCCTGAATCTGCATGTCTTTCCAATTAAGCACTATTTAAGACATTTAAAAATTACTTTTCTGTCACTGTTCTTCAAGACCAATGTTTGCAGCCAGAAAGCAATATGTACCACCAAAAATTATTTTCTCTTAATGTCACAAAGACAAAACCAAATTATAGCAAGACCAGGGTGTGTTGTCTCACAGTCTCAGAAGCAGCAAGTATGGAAAGAGGTTACTTATTCTTCATCTCCTTTCTGGGTGTTCGTTACGCATAGTCCCATTGTAATAAGAAAAAAATATCGATAAAGCCAAGCACTTTGTTTAACAAACTTTGCATCCTTAACTATAAAAGCCTAAAATACCTCCCGCACTGCTGTCCATGGGAGCTATTAGGAAAGCAAGAAGGGCCATCGAGCAGTGTCCTTTAAAACCTCCCTTGGCCTGCCAGAAGCACTTCAGTGTTGACAGCCAAGCCATTGCCTCCCCCTAGGGAGCTGAGGGCTGTTTCCATGGAAACCCAGCCTATCTCTTCTGTGGTTTCAAAAACTCAAGCTGTGCACACCGGCTGCCTCTGATTGTCCCACGTGGGCTTCCCTTCCTGGGAAGATGTGCTCCTAGAGGGATGGTTACCAGCGTGACAGGGAAAAGTGGATTCCGCACACCTCCCCCAGGCCCAGAGTGGAGAGGCCTGAGGGGCAGGTCCCATTTTAGAGGACTTGTCATTTCCTCACTTGAGGCTGCAGAAAATTGTGGTTTTGAATATTGAAATTTCTTAAGGCTGGGAAAATTTGTATGTAAATCTGTGAGTTTAAGAAAGCCTTAAAGTCTTGACTAGTCAGATAGGAAGGAATGCCTTGAGCCACTGCAGGGGAGAGCAGGTGAAGCAGCCTGAGCTCCCTTCCTCGGCCCAAAGGTGCCACCTGCAGGTAGAGAGTGGCAGGCAGCAAGCACTTCAGCAGCTCCAACAGTGCAGGGAGAGGGAAGCAGGTTAGTGGCCTGCCCTTCTCCTTTGCTCCTCACAGAGGGAGGCTCTCTAGCTCCACAGCCACCCTCCTAGCTGCTAGCAGGCCCACAGCCTCAGGGATGACAAGTGCTGTCACCTGGTCAGGTTCCTGAAAGAAAACCTTCTGCAAAACAATGAAAACCCTGAAAGTGAGAAAATTCTTTTTCTTTTTCCTTTTGTGGTAGAAAGAGTGCATCTTGAACCTCTTTCTTACCAGGTGATGAATTTATACCTTTGTGAAAAAAAGAAAGGATAGCCTAACACATAGAACTCGCTGCAGAGGTTTTGCAGGTGGAGGTAGTTATCATTGTTCTTTCTTGGTTGTAGGACCTCACTTTCATTTTGAGCTTACTCGTTAAATGAGTAAGCTCTAAGTTAACTTTCACTAAGTTTTTAAATTAGGAAGGGCTTTAAAATCTCCCTGCAGTAGAAAAATAAGGCCGAGTGTAGGTTATTGTGGGGGAGGTAGGGAGATAGGTCTTTTAAAACACCTCTAAACAGAACTGTTATCACGTTCAGTATCTCTCAGGATGATTTCTCTCAGGTGAGTGCCTCAGCATTGGGAAAAATCAACCACTGAACAAGCCCACTGAATTACTTCTCAGAAAATATTCTCTTAGCTATTGAATGACAGGACCTTATCATCACTCCGGAAGTGAAGGTTAACACAGTTAATCTCTTCAAACCCGAGTCCCCAGTCAGGGATGGAGCTGCTATTGACTAGTAGGATTCATTCAAACAACCTCAGCCTTATTCTGTAGCCAACACCTATTTCAAAGATCCATCTCCTTCTGCATGGACCCGAGCACTCCACAGACACCTCCACTGCCCTGCCATTTAGTTGGTTTTGCTCCTCCCCTAACACAGGCCATTAAACTCTATCCTTACATATGGTATGGAAGATACTGACTTCTGTGCCCTGAGATCTAGATGCACATTCCCTTTCATGGGGCCAGAGGGAAATTAGAAAATTTCTAAACCCTGAAAGTTGTTTATGCATCCAAGTATGGCAATCTGCCATTCGCACATTTGAAACTTGTCCAGTTCCTGTGTGCCCACCTGCTCCTTGGCACTGTGTCATCCAGTCTGGAGAAGGCACATCTGTGAGTGACTAGTCTGCCAGCCACAGTGTACTAGGCTTGTGGGCTAGCCTCATTTTTTTGCATGAGTAGCCTTCCAGTGTCACCTCTATAGTTGGCTAACATGCTGACCCACCCTCAGCGTTGCTAAGCAGAACCATTCCTGAGCAAAGGGAAACCAAGACCTTTGGGAGCATCTGCTGCCTGTCCTCATGTGTGCCTTTGTTCTTGACCTGGGTTCAGGCTTTCCCTGGGTCTGGACGAGTGCACAGAGCACAGTCTTCTCTTCAATAACAGATGATATTTTGTTCACTGGATCACTGAATCTGTTATTTAATGGGAAGGGTATTTTTTTCCCTTAGCTTCTGTCCCTTAGTTTTATCTTCATGGTGGTACAAAGGCAATGCTGTTGCTTTGAGAAGTATGCTTTTGCACTGCTGTCTGCTTGTTCTTGGAATAGTGTATTTAAGAAGTTATAGAGATGACTGGGAGATAGCTCCATGGTAGAAGTGCTTGCTTTGCAACCATTAAGACCTTAATGTCATCCTCCGAGCCCACTATCAAAATAAAATAACAAATTTCAAGGCAGACATGTTGACACAGGTTCATATTTCCAGTACTAGGAGATAGAGACAGGTGTATCCCTAGGGTATATAGCCAGCCTAGTCTACTTGGTATGTTCCAGGACAGTCAGGAGCTCTGTCAGATAGATAGATGATGGATGGATGGATGGATGGATGGATGGATGGGTGGATGGGTGGATGGATGGGTACATACATACATACATACATACATACATACATACATACATAGATGGCAGTGGCTGAAGAATGATACTGATGCTATCCCTGGCTTCCACATGCACGTACCCTAACACACACACACACACACACACACACACACACACACACACACTATTTAGAGAGAAACAATTCTAAAAACCCATCAATAATGCAAGCTGGCTTTAAGATGCCAGATGAATTTTTTTTCTGTGGGTTTAAGCAGACTTGGTAGAGATGCCTATGGCTATGAGATCCCTGTCAGGATATGCAGATGTACCTCCTACATTATACCCGAGAATGGAAACATTATAGGCCTAAGGTAAAACAGACCTATAGAAGGGTCCATGACTAGGGAACTGTGGATCTGCCTTGCTTCCAACCCCCAGCACAGGTTCCAGCTATTGCCTTACCTGGGCTCTAGGATTCCCCAGTCTAGACAGCATTGTGAGGACATGGCAGGGATCCCTGTGCAGAGCTGGCTCAGACTATCCCATGCCCTTAGCCATGATGCATAGCTTTCCATGTTGGATCTTGACATGTGTAGATTGGGATTGCAAGTCCTACGGTAACTGGCCTTGGCTAACTTCAAAGAACAGTTAGGGCACAGAAAGGCCATTTAGGGGTCCACAAGTCTAGTGACAGGATATGAGGTGCTTGAGAGACTGAAAAGACTTAAGAGGTCACAAACAATCGTGGTCCTTTGGGCATGTCCTTGTGCTGGGAAGGAAGGAAGTAGAAATGGGTTTGTTTGTGCTAGTGATCATGAAGGAGCTAGAGAGCTCCCAGATCACTTTAGTCTCTTTTAGTAGCAAGGGCACACAATAAAGAGCTTGCCTTTTGGATAAATAAAGTCAATTACCCAGGGGGGTTGATTTTCTTCAAGTAAATTACCCCATTTGCATTTGTACTTGTAGGTGCCCCACCCCTGGCTGTGACGGTTCTGGACACATCACTGGCAATTACGCTTCTCATCGAAGGTATGTAGACGCATCAGAACTATCCTCTGTCCCTAAGAGTAGCATCTCCATCCTGGCAGGGGAGTTGTACTCTCGGATGAGGTACAGGCTGGCTATGTACCACGTAAAGCTATCCTCAGCTAAGGATCCTGACTTGGGACCTGCTTGAATGATCATCTCTCCTGAGTCTGTATACCACCCTAGAGCACCAAAACGTTTCCAGTTCTCCATTCTAGAAGAACAAAGGAAAAAGACTCATCTCTAAATAAGTTATATCTGAGAATACCCCATATAGGCAAATATTCTCATAAACACACATGCTGCTAGTCTCCTTAACATTAGGATTTGAAGCATAGAGCTGTGCAGTTACTATATACAGGACTGACTACCACAGAGAGGCTTAGTTTTAAATTTCAGTTTCTCACAATGAGAACAGAGAGGCCACAATAAGACACAGAACCCCCCACCATGGGAGCTAACAGAAGGCCTCCACTACCTGTCATTCCATCAATGGAAGTGCACACTTTATGACAGGTACTATGTGGAGAGTTGAAAGAAAATCTTGGTGCTTCTGTCACAGAATAAGAGTAGGTGGGATACATGGTTAAGATGGCAAGGCCAACTCTGCTCAAGGAGCCCGGTGACAGTTTCAGGAGTCCTACATCAGAGCCTCAAAGCTTGATACCTATAAGGGCAAGTGGGGATCCACAGCCAGGGGGCAGGCCATCAGTAGATGGCAAACCCTTATCAGAACGAATGGTCCCTTGATGACTCCATAACGTTAGTTACTGCTGAGGGAGGGCAGGCAGAATAGAAGATGACCGACCATGAGGCAGGCAGAGTACAAGATGATTGAGGGAGGCACTGGAATTTTTACTAAGCTGGCTTGGCAGGGTTCTTGCTCATACTTCATTCTGTGAGGAGAGAGGAGGAACCCACAGTGGGGCTTCTCAGGCTTTGGTCACAGAGAAAGATCTTTAATCACATTCTGAGATAACAGTCAAGAGTTCTGCGAGGCCATCCCTGTCTGTAGAAACAGAGTGTGCACATGCTGCCAAGGTGCAGAGAAAGCCATGTTCTCCACAGGCTTTCCTGGGTGCATTATGCTAGCATTTGTGAATCAACACTTCTTTGCTATGAGGTCTCCTTCAAACTATAGGCTGCTGATCGGTAGCATGATCTCCATCCTTGAATACCAATCAAATGCCTCCAGACTTAGTCCCACCAGGTCAGGAGAGGTTTCTACCTTTCACATGTTATTGCCAAGTGTTCAAGATAGACTGAGATCTTTCTGAAAGCATTTCCGGAGTAGATGGTTTCTTTATATTAAAAAGAATTACAAAAACACTCAAGTTAAATGTATAAAGTCAGGTGCATTCTATTCTAGTCTTTATATTAATTTATTTTAGAAAGTAAATGTCTATAAAACATTCATCATTTTGTAAATCTGTACAGCTAGAGATGGAAGTTTCCTGATCAGCCCACATCTAATGTCTTGTGTTCAACTTTTAAAAAATGGCATTTAATATCTACTTTTGACCATGAAGAATACCAGCATTTTTACTCATTTTGCTTTTGATTTAGAATGTTAGGAGTTAGTAAGATAGAAATGTATCATTAAAATGTAATAAAGAGCCATGCATGATGGGCACTTCTGTAATCCCAGCACTTGGAAGCAGAGGCAGGAGGATCACCTAGAGTTCAAGGCCAGGCTAGGCTACATAGAGAGGTTTTGTCTCAAAATAATGTGGGATTAGTGTATGAGTATGTATGTATGTATGTATGTATGCAGGTATGTTTATGTATATGATGTATATATGTGGTATGTATGAACATGTGCATGCATATATATGTGTGTTGTGTATTTTGTGTACATATATAGAATGTATTTGTATGTGTATGTATGGGTATATGGTATGATTGTGTGCATATGTGTAGTGTGTATATGTGTTCAGGTTGTGTATGTTTGTTGTGTGTCTTTGTATTATGTGGTAGTGTTCATGTGTATATGTATGCATGGTGTGTGTGTGTGTGTGTGTGTGTGTGAATTTGTATGCCAGCCTTATATTTAAGATGTGATCTGTGCTGAACTAAATTCAGGCTTTATCAACAGAATTGCAAAGCAAATTTGATTTTGAAAAGAAAACTTTTGGCAAATATTGCCTTGTAGCAGTTTTAGCAAGCAGAAAGTAGAGTGTATTGAAGTGTTCTGTAGTAACAAGTTCCTTTACATAGAAGTTGAAATAGAGTCAAGCATATTAATCAAGAACATTGCATTTAGTTCACTGTACTAATGTAAGTTTTCCACTTAGAAAATACTGAGGTCACAGCTAAATAAGCAAAGGTCAGTATAAGTTGAATAAAGACAGAAGCCAATAGCTAGATGATCATTAGCAATCTTCCTTCTCTTTTATATTCCCAAATTTTTTCCCAGGAACACAGCCATGAGATACTTGTACAGAAACCATAGAGGAAAGTTTGCCTAGACAGGGACACGCTGGGTTCCCCCAGATATGCCACAGTTCCGCTCAGTTTTGAGTTCAGAGCATCTTCATGCCACAGTAAGAAGTGAGGTCTCAGAGCAAGAATTCTAAGCAGGGCTGAGTCAGAGCCCATGGATAATTCTGGTACCCATGGGTTTGTCCTTCCTAGCCATAGACTGGGTACACACATCACCTTGGGGTTATAGGATGGCCCTGTTCTATGACTCAAGACACTAGAGGAATACACACATATCTTCATAATATAAATGAACTGGAGGCTTCTTGTAGTCAGTGTTTATTGCTGTGAAGAGACAGCATGACCACAGCAATTCCTATAAAAGAAAGCATTTAACTGGGGCTTGCTCATAGGTTTAGAGGCTCAGTCCATTATTAAGGCATGGAGCTTGATGGCACACAAGCAGACATGATGTAGAGAAGTAGCTGCGCATTCTACATCTGGCAGCAGGAAGAGAGAGACTGGGCCTGGCTCAGGCCCTTGAGACCTCAAAGCCCACCCCACTACCCAGTGACATACTACTTCCAACAAGGCCACGCCTACTCCAACATGGCTAAAACTCATAATCCTTCCCAAGTAGTGTCACTCCCTGATGTAGCAGTCAAACATATGAGTTTATGGGGGCCACCATTCTTATTCAAACCACCACAAGGCTGCATGCCTCCTTCTGCTGCTCTCTACACACTGAAGACAGGGAACCCATTCTTTGTTGGGTCTGAGGAAACTGAGGCTCAAGAGATAAACTAGAAGACCTGGAACTCAAGTCATGGTATCTGCTCAAGTTTCTCATCTTCATGGACCTATGAGCCCAGAATAATACTGGAACACCATGGGGTTGGGAGCAACCCACAAGGAAAAAGTACACCCAATTATATACAGCCTTGCTAGACAAGATGCAGTTTGGAACTTACTTAGGTTATGTTAGAACAGTGATGCCGCTTCTCGTCAGTGTTGTATCAGAACGCACCTGAACTTATCTTAACAAATCTTTGTGGACCCTGATGTTTTCTGAAACGTTCATCCATTACTCCTCCTCCACTGTCCTCTGATGGACCTGTGAGGCTTTCACAATCTGCAGTCATCAGCTGACTTTGTCTTGGAATTCTTGATCATTTCCTCAGCTTCTCAGGGATCTTCTGTGCTCTCTTCCTATCCTTCATGGGAGCCTCTTCATCTGCAGGGTGTTTGTTTGTTTCTGAACACAGTGGTGCAGTGTCTTCTGAATGCTCCTACAACTCAGGCTTACAGAACTTTCCCTTATTCTCTGATTGAGCCCTCCATTTGCCTTTTCAGCAGTATCATACAATAGCAAGACATACCCAAGACCCCTCTGCTCTTACTTTGTGTCCCACAAGGGATTCTTTGCCTCCCATGTAAGTACTCTGACATTTTAAGGGGCAACTACTAATCTCCCAAAACACAGGACATAGATTAGTGACCAATTCCTATGTAAGCTTAGTATTGCACTGAGCTTCACACATATATGGTCTCAATGCCTGTGAGATTATTTTACCTTAGTTGAAATGAGGAATTGAGGCTGGAGTGCAAATGTGCCATGCTGTCAACTCAGTATCTTCTCAAGCCCTTTCCTCTTGTTCTTCTGAGAGATGAAAGACCCAAGGCTTTAGCCAGAAGACTGCTGATATCTTCTACTGTTTCATTGTGCTCTGAAAAGTCCAGACAGCGATCCCAGAGGCCTTCCCTGTTATTACAAGAAGCATCACCCCACCCAAAGATAGGGATAAAGAGAGCAGGCTTGCTGGCATTTGGAAGCACAAAGAGAAAGACTTCTTCAAGGGTCACAGAACCAGAAGGTTGTAACCTTCACTAGGGAGCTAAGGAAACCAGATCATGGAATGCTGACAGAAGCTCCACACATGCTACAGGGAAGCCCTTCCCTTACTCAAGGGAGATTAGCTGAGCAACATTCTGGCCTGTGGGTGACAATTTTTATCCAGACAGTTCCCAGGTGCTAGCCTCTAGCCCTCTTACCTTACCAGAGCTGGCTAAGACCCACCCTACTCTGTCACTCTATCCTAAGAAATAAAGTGTTACAACAGTATTTCTACTTCTAAAAATTAAAAAAAAAAAAGCCTACAACAGTTCAGTAAAAGCCCCACACTGACTGTTTTCAGTCTGAGGCCCGTGCAGCACCTCACTCCACACAGCAGCAAGCACTTGGATGAGAAGAACAAAGGCGGCTGCTGCATTCAGAAGAAAGCAGAAACACCAACTCGAACTTAACATTCCTCCTAAGGCAGGAGACAAAGCAACAGGCAAATTTCCAGGACAACAGCAATCCAGAGGCTTCTGGTTCTTTCTTTGGGATAGATTTGAGCAGGGAAGTTCATTGTCATGCCAGATAAAACTGGCCTGCTTAAGAAGTTGGCTGCTGCCTGACTCTGGTTTGCTTAGAGATAAGAACATCAGTGTGACATGTTGACATCTTCCACCAGAACCTTCTGTGGTTGTCACATGTTTCAAATCTATACGGTTTCAAGTAAAAATATAAATATCTAATGAGTCTTTGAGCCAAGAGTAGCAAATTGTGGAAAACACAGTCTCATTTTTGGAAATACTTAGTAATTTATGTCATGATTCCAAATCTCAGCCCAAGATCCCAGAAATTTAGAATCCCACAGATATTTATTGGGCACATACAATATTCTGGAGGTCAAGAAACAGTGATAACTAAGGAAGTCCTATCCTCAAGGGACAACTAATCTATGAGGAAAGAGAGATGCACAAACCTTGGTGAGGACTTGGGCAGCTCCAGGCAAAAGATAGAGTTGAATATGGGGATTGGTTTTCAAGATGAGGTAAGTTCTGCATCTTCCAAGCTAGAAATGGTGGCACACTGGTCATCTCCCCAACACGAGACCTTTGAACATGTGTGCAACTATATTCAGCACAGAGAAAAGTTAATGTTAGGAAAGTGGCAGTGGCCAAAACTGAGTGGCCACATCATGATCTGAGTGGTGAAACTGCCAAATAGGATGGGGATGGGTTCTGCTCAAACATGTTGCCTTTGAGATTCTTACAATAAGATGGCTAAGCAAGGCAGAATAAGAGGAAGAAGCAAAGCTTTCTCGCACCAGACAGGAGAAGTCTGCCTTCACTGAAGGAGCCAGTGGAAAGAAAATGTTCTAAATGTAATATTTAGAGAGGATAGATAGGCCCAGAGGTTGGTGGTAGCTTTCCTTCAAGGAGTTAGGCTTCTCTCTCAAGGTTGAACACCTGCATTTATGTGTCTGTCACTGTTCTAGAAAGAAAAGGCAACTGGTTTCTTGTAGGTGCCAATTTGGACTCTAAGAAAAGACTGTAGATGTTGAGGAATCCCTGTACTTGGATTGGCCTTCTGTTCTCCTGTCCTTCCTATGGGGGCTTCTCTAACATCTTGGTCAAGGTACCATGATCAGAGACATGGCCAAGCACTACCAGTAACAGTACTGACCCTTCAGCAGCATGCCTGATGCCATTCCTGGGCTAATAAAGTCACCATGAGAATCTCTTGAGTCTTTGAAGAATAATAGGTTGATATCCATGCTTTACAGCAAAAATAGAGAATATTAAATCTGGTGTTGTAGCACAGTTGATAGTGTATTTGCTTAGCATACACAGATCTCTGGTTTCAGTCCTCAGCAATACATAAAATAAGTTGAGATAGTACATGCTGCCTGAACTCTCAGGATCACAGTGCTGACAAGGTGGAGACATAAGAATGATAAATTCAAGAATACCACAGACTACAAAGTAAATTGATGCCAGCCTGAGGGTGTATGTGTGTATGTGTGTGTGTGTTTGTGTGTGTGAAACAAGAGAAAAGCAAAAACAAAAAGAAAAGAGACTACTGAGTCACTGGAAGTCTTTCACAGTGGCCTTGTAGGCTTTGGGGCTGAGCTTGGTGCAGAAATCCATGTGCTTCCTGAATGCATCTTTCCCGTTGTACTGCTACACTCAGCAAATACTTGACGATCACAAGCTCTGTGAAAGGCCTTGAGTAGGTGTTAAAGAACCAAATGAGTACAAGATGGCCCACATATCCTTGGGACAAGCCTCTTAGAGGAGCCTTTGGTGGAGGGACAGGTGAACAAGAGAAAGTCAAGGGCTTCTTCGTAGATGTGACTTTTGCAGAGGCCAAGTTCATGAGAAGGATGTCAGATAGAGCATACGGAAGGCTGGAAAGAAGGTGAAGGTCCAGGGAAGAAAGCCATCATGTGGCACTGAGCTAGAGGTGACAGAGGAGTGAGTTGAGACAGTTGAGGCAGACTCACAAGCTATGCATGGGCTAAAGCCCACACTGTGTGTCCCAGCACAAGGTGTTTAGATGTAGGGAGAGATACTGAGAGGGGTCCTAGCATATGAACATTCCTTGGGAAAATCTCCAAAGCTTCTAAGTCCAAAACCTAGAACATAGACAAGCATGTTTAGACTCCAGCATCCCTTCTGCAGATATAACCAGAAGTCCACACTTGAGTGAGGTGGACTGCCTCCTAGCACACACCCGTGCTGCAGGGCTCTTCACGGCATCAAAAAGGGCCTGACTGCCCTTCACATCACCTCACCATTTGTCCTCTTCCTCTCTTCTTTCCTCCTTCCCTTCCTCTTCACTGTTCCACATTCATCCATAGAATCTTCTCCATCATCTTTTCTTATCAGTCCTCGCTGTCCCCATTTTTCAAGCTGGCTACTCCCCATGTCTACAGCGCCTAGTCCACCCAAGCTCTTAACCTTCTTGAGAGGGAACTGACAAAGAGTACAAAGACATTGAGAGGACTTAGGGGCTATGTCCAGAATGGACCCCCACACACACTAGGTTTTATTTACCCCCAAATCCCAGGCTATAGAGGGACTCAGATCACTGGTGAGGAAGTTTTACCCAAGTATCAGTGTTCTGTGTCTCTGAAACATGTCTCTCCTTCAGCCTTTCTGGGTGCCCAAGAGCAAAGAAGAGTGGCATCCGGATAGCACAGAGCAAAGAGGACAAGGAAGACCAGGAGCCAATCAGGTACGGGGCAGCCAGCAAGGTACACACCCACTGAACAACCATGAGAAAGGGGGCCAGCAGGTTCTAGAAGGCATCTGCTGAGGTTTAACTTAGTAACTAGGCCAGATGAACCTAAACCAAAGTGCATCTGCTAAGTAGCCTCAAAGTTACAGGTGTCCAGCCACAAGTGATATTTGCAGTGACCCAAATCTCAAGAAACACTCCTGTCCCCAGAACATATATATACTGGGGACCTCAAACATAACACCAAAAGCAAATTCCCTGCCAGCATGCAGCTTTTTAAGACCAGCAGACGTGCCTTTCCCCCCTGAGGCTTGCTTGGGAGGGGGTTGCCTTGCACCTTCCTCTGCAGCCCAAAGGGCTGGTGGCTCTGCCTGCATTTCATTCTCATCTTCTATTCTGCTTTCCCTCCCTCCTAGGGTTCCAAACCTCACATGATAAACCTGGTGGGTCAGTATCAAATTTCAGTACAAGTACTTTTAGAGATAACTTTTAACCCAAATAAAAATCAATGAAGGCATAGGTCATTAAGATCAACTAAAATTTATCATAATAAACAGAAGCATGGATTCTGTGGCATCTAAACTTTGCTATTCAAAAGGAAAGGTGGATTAACAATATAGCTTAGTTGTTAGAGTATTTGTCTAGCATGTATGAGGCTCAAAACTCAGCACTGCATAAATGAGAATGGGTGATGCAGACATGTAAGATAAAGACAGGACAGTCAGAAGCTCTATGTTATCCTCAGCTATATAACTAGTTCTTCAAGCCAGCCCAGGCTACAAGAGACCCTGTCAAAAGAAAGGAAGAGGGGGAAGGGAGGGAGGGAGGGAGGGAGGGAGGGAGGGAGGGAGAGAGGGAGGGAAGAAGGGAGGGAGACAGGGAAGGAGGGAGAAAGGGAGGAGACAAAAGAGGGGGAGGGAGCGAAGGAGGGAAGGAGGGAGCAAGGGAGGAAGCAAGAGAGGGTAGGGGAGAGGGAGGGAGGA